CGTCCAGCTCGCTCGTCCAGGACTGCAGCTTGTTTCTCGAGGGCTGCAGCTCGCTTCTCGAGTACTGCAGCATCCCAAGATAACGGCTGACCTTGCGTTGCCATGGGTCGCTTCACAAGCGCCGATCCATGCATAGCGGCATGGTGTCTGATTGTACCCCCGCCAAGAGCGGCTCGACAGCAATCCAGCGAGCATGAGCTAGGTGTTCGTGTTCTTGCCACGGGGTCCGTCCCGTTGCGACGAAGTGGCGGCGGTCCACCACCCAACCCAGAAACCAGTGAGCGTGTCTGCGTTGCGCAAGCATCGCTGTTGGAGCGAGTGATGGCAGGCTGGTTTTCAGCAGTGTGGCGACTTTTTGAGCCATCACCAAATATGATAGGTGATGCCAGCTCATGCAAAGCCGCTTGGCGCCGATCGTCGCTTTCTGGAACTCGCTGCTTTTCATGAACTCCAAGAACGAGACTTTCATCCACGGGCGTGTTCTGGAGGACTTCTCCTGCAAGGCGTGGACGCTTTCGTCTCGCATCTTCAGGGTCGCTGACATCGTACTCGGGTGTCGGTTGCTGAACGCGTTTGTTTCCTGGCTGTTCCGAAGAAGACTTGCCTTGACGAAACCGCATTTCGAAGTCTCCAGTCTGGGAGAGATGGACAGAGTTCTCCTGGACGGTTTTGCGAAGTTGCGTCTCCGTACCAAGCACAGCCGAGGAGCTGCAAGCTGCAATCGTTTCTTCGCCCGGGCTCTTCGAGGGGACAGGCTCGTCAACTCCTAGGCCTGACGCGTCGATCTCATGCCGTATGACTGCTCTACTGGGAGCATCGAAGTCATCGCTCGGGGCAGAAGTTTCGTCACGTGTATCCGTTCGCCTGGGCAACTCGGTACCAGCTGCTGGTTGTTCTGCCTTTGGGGCTGGTTTCGGAACGTAGGGCTTGAACGTGAACTCCCGCGGCATCTTGACTGTGACTGAGGACGAAGTTCTGGTTGTAGGACCAAGAGTAAGGAACAGGTACGCTTCGAAAAGCAAGGAGCCTCCCTTTTATATTGGCGTAGAGGAAACGGCAAGGGAAATGTCTTTCCCGAACAAGGTTCTTAGGCCTCCCATTCCGCGCTTCCCAGTGTAGCAATGTCATATTAAATCGTCATGACAACGACACTGCCCACAGGACGTCTGCTCCTGCCAAAATAGGTAATTACTTGTGAGCAGCTTTTCCGGACTGTCGGAGACCCGTAAGCTCATCCTGCGAGACAAGGACGAGGGGCAATACGAGCGGAGCGACGGTTGCATCGGATGCAAATACCATGTCTGCGTCGAGACCATGCACAACTCCACTCGCATTACCCATTTACATCGCAGAACCATAGCCCGTGAAATGCAGGAGCTCGGCCATCATCGGCGTGTGAGTCGGTCATCGCGTCGGCTGTTCGCATGACAACTGTGAAGTGGCGGATCCCGGGCGTGTCGATGTTCTCGTGATGAATCAGCCTTTTCACAAGGCTCATACAGCCTCACTGCAACAAGCCGTGTACAGGTCAGGAAACAGCGGCGGCGACCCGGAGTAAAGTGCCGGGACTCAGTCATCATTGCTGCGGTCTGCCATATCTGACAACGATCGAAATTACCGTGATGCCGTCCTTGTTCAGAGCACGGTCGTGAACTTACCGCATCTAGGAACTGTCGGGCAATGGCAACAGCACCCGAAGACTCGGGCTGACGTATTTTTGCCATAAATGGCAATTTCTGAGACGGCTGTATGCTCCAACGCGGGAATGCCCGAAATGGTGGCATCGGCCTCAACACTGTGAATTTGCCGTACATGGCATTTGTTGGAGTGATAGAACGCCCGCCTGTAAAGTATGGCTTCTTGCAGAATTCGGAAACAGCTTAGAGCGTTAGGCCTGACCGAAATTTCCCCATCTGGTATTTCCAGGCTGGTCTTCGGGTTATTTCGTCACCGCTCGGAAGTTGACCGACACATCATCCGCGGGTCCAGGAGAGACAAAAAACGGCACGGGACGACTCGTTCTGCCGTCAGGGCGCAACGCGGCGGGCTCCGATAGTTCGTGCTGAACCCCTGGGCTGAACCCATCCGCGACACGACATGTGCGGGACGAGGAAGCACTTAATTTCGCCTCGCAGCAGAACAGGGGCTTCGGAGTGGGTTTAATCATATATGACGCATCCTGCAATGCTGGCTTCCGGCAACTGCGGGTATCATGGCGGTGGTTGCCTCTCACGAGCCGTCGGACTGTTGTTATGTACTCCGGGCAATGCGACGGGCAGGCAAGCTAGAGTGGCTAGCCGGCCATGCCCGTGGGCAGTGCAACGCAGTCATGCAACCGAAATGGCATGCGTCCACATCCCCGAGCCTGGTCCTGTCCCTGTAGGCCCTCTGGAGCTGTGAGGCAACAGCTTGAGGTGGTGGCTGTGGCCGAGCTGCACCGTGGTCGTAAATGGAACGCCTTCGCTGTGACCATCATCGAGTGACCGACTGAAAGTAGAATACACATTAGCAAAGAAAATGTACTTGCAACAGAAAATTTTCCTTCTTTACCTTACAGTAGAGAATAGTTTTCCATGTTGGAGAAAGGTGGTGGTCAAGAGACCAAGCTCTTGGGATGATGTGTGATGAAAGAACTTGAAAGGTACATTTGGAGGGTCC